TGGCCAGACATCCTCTGTTCTGAGAAGCTGCAGCTATCCAGCTTCTTGCAACTTCCAGTGGCTCGTTGGAAGGAGTGGGGGGGGAGTGTATTTTAATAAAGTCGTTAAAACTCCGAAGCTGGGATCTCTAGCAAATAATCGCGTAAAAATTGAAGGATTGAAGCGCTACGTATCTTCCAATCCTGTATTTTCTTCCTCCATTTCTGCCGTTTCCTTTTTATTTTTTCCTTAAACAAAGAGACAAGCCTGGGAGAAGTAAGGGGAGATAAGTCGGAGAGACTTGTTTGAGTAAGAATAAAAAATGCAGGACGACAGAGGGGAAAGAAAGATGGACGTACTCACATGAGGAGAAACTCTGAGAGATATATTATACATTCCTAGTTTCCTTGGTACTTGGCCGGCTCCTGCGTACATATGTAAGTTTCAAAGTTCCTCAAAGATGCAACAACTGCAAAACGTTCTCTCTGTTTCTTACCCTTCGCTCTGATACTCGCGCCCATATCCAACCTAACCCTCACGACGCGCCGACAGCTCGTTCAAGACGCCTCGGGACGACAACCGGTAACGAGAAGGCAGATGGCACTGCGCGTGAGTCGTGCGACGCGGCGAGTTTTCAACGAAGGAATCACCACGCCACGCGTAACAAGTGCTCGCTGGTCGAATACTCGAAGAAACGCGGGAACTCGAACGAATAGGTCTCGCGACGAGTCGTGGAGCATTGACCCCTTGTAATTGGAATTTTGTTTACCTATGGAGAAGGAAATTCAAATTGATTATAGATACATAATTTTTTACGTTGAGGTTGGTATGGTATTTGTGTAACGTCGTGATAATAACGGAGAATATTAGAGCAATGATTGTGTGAAATATGAATACAAGAGTAAGTGAGTAAAAGGTTATGTTTTTGTCTTACCTTGCCTTACGATTTCAGTTCCGATGAAGCGTACTACAATCAACGCTTTAACAAAGGAGTCGGTCACACGTTGAACCACGACGTCCGAACGCTGCAAAGAATAACACGTAACCGAGGCAGGAAGACATCGGCGAAAATTAAATACGAGCCCAATCTGTGTTTACGTTGGGCTCCATCTACACCCATGCCTCTCACCCGTGGTACTCATGTTTGGTTCTATTTCCTTGCGAGTCACGCACGATATTGTAGAAGAGGTTAATAGATTTATTAGCTAGGGGAATAGATAAGCTAGAATTATTGTAATTATTAATTAGAAATGACCGGTCACAAAATATTCGGGCACGTATAAATACAATTCACAAGCGTATATAAATATATTACTATATTTTATATTTAATATACATTTCATTATATCATAATTCATTCTTTACTGTATGTTTTTTGTCCTTCATTATTATATGTTTATTTAAAATATAGAATATAAAAGTGCTCGAATATTTTTATCACTAACTGTATGTAACTGCCTGGAGAATTATGCTTCGAAATTTTTTAATTTTGTAATGTAAATCATATTATAATACATTTTAATATAAATAATAAATATGAATAAATATTTTACTTGAAATAATAAATGAATCACATATTTTAAGTGAAATAATAAATAATAAGAAATAGATTATCCGTTTTAATATTTGTAAAGACACCAATTTTTTCATTAAAATTCTTTTCAATTAAAGATTTTGTTTTCTGCACTACCCATTCTCTGAACTCCTAAAATAAATATATGTACATACAACTTTCAAAAATAATCGATATTAATTGAGAGAAAAATTAAGAAATGATGACAACATTCAAATGAAAACTGCATGCTTCCATCCATTCCTAAAGCGATAAAAAATTTCCTCCGTAAGGTTCGCGACTTTTGCACGGTAATGGAATTCCCACTATCTTATTCCAGCACTCCACGTAGAAACTGCCAGGCATGGTAATAAAATAAAGAAACCGAAATATGAATACAGACAGCACGAGTACAAAGTAGACGGAAAAGGAACGAGAAATTCGGAATGTCCGGAAAACTTGTACGACTAAAGTGCAAATATCGAATCGTGGAAGATATTTCGTTATATTATTTCGATGATTCTATATAAAACGGAACCTGAAATAAGCAATTTATAATTTTATATCAAATGATACCTAAATTTCAAATACGCGATACTCAAAAATATTCCTTCTTACTATTTCAAAGCTCCTACGAAAGCAGGTTTCGAAACAAGCAATTTACAAATCGATTTAAAATGCAGCTCAAATTGAAAAAGAATCAATTGTTAGAAATATCTGTCAACTCATCGAAAAATAGTATTAGAAACAAAACATGGAACGAACAATTTATAACTTGATTGAAAATGATACATAACCTGCAAATATCCTATAGCCAAAAATATTCCTTCGAATATTTTCTATTCACATAAAACGTGCGATGTATAATTCGATTTAAAATGGTATCTAACATACGTTACGCCGAAATTTCGAGGTTAGCCATTTAAGGTTAGTTCCACTGCAACGTGTATCGCATCAAAAAGTTTCCAAAAATTCGATGCACGCTATCGTTATGGAACGTCCAGCCTCAGTTTTATTCTTTCTAGCTACGGCATCTACATATTTCAGTGACACTCGCTACAAACGTTGTGCCACCCTCACGAATCGCGCATGTGGTTCGCAAGGGATTATATCGCGGCAAGGATGCTGAAGCTTTAATCTCTACCATACGTGAAATCATGAATTATTCGCAGTCGCGTTTAAATTATACGCGGATCTCTTAATAGCGTAAACGCACTGATGATTTATCAATATTCTATAACAAGCAGTATCATTAGTGGTCCATATTTGATCCTGGTTCGATACGTTTAACGGTAAAATCGTGTGAAATGAGTTAGATTGGCAGAGAAGGTTTGCCGTGTCTACAGAAGAAATTCAAAAATAGCGAATATATCTTTTACAGGATTATTTGTTCATTTATGTATTCCAGGATGAAATAAGTCCGTAGCTATAGAACATATCTTGGATGATAGGAAACCTTTTTAAAAATTAATGGCAAACATAAACGCTACTTTCAAGAGAACTTGCACCAATTAATAATAACTGTCCAACATGTCTAAGGGACTCAATACCTAACCCAAACCGATTACATAGGATTCAAACAGAAATCAAGCAAAACTATTGAATCCAATTATGTTAGAAGTAACAGAGAACCACAATAGAATTCACATAAATCATCAATACTCCAGTAAGCCAGTCCAAACATGGCACGTACAGCACAATTTACACAAAACTTGATCATATAAGAAGTAATACAAAATCACAGTAGAATTCCAGTAAATCCGTAAGAATGATTATTAAAAGAACTCAAAATCCCATTAGTCCAGTTTAAATATTGCAACTATAACACGGTCTATCTATATTTAAGTGTAATTAATCATACTGTGATATAATATCAAGCATCTCAATCAATCCATCATCCTATTCTCTTTGGGAATAACGCTACATTAAGCTAATTGAAGATTCACTAACACATTAAAAATCCGACCTACCATAGCTCTGTGCAAGAGATAGTATCGTTTTTCTGGCATACGAGCCACAGAAAACGAATGCTCGTGAATTCATTTGTTTTTAATAGTTTTTCGCGATATGCTCCGCAATTTCATTTATGCATATATGCATGTACATAAAGTGTCCTAAATAAACGAACTGAACGCACTATGCAATGCATCCTACCTGGACAACAGCGGTGTATAGCAAAGCAAAAAATATGATTTAATAAGAGTAGTAAATTTTGGTCGTAATAGTGCTCGAAGAATCAAATATCTACCTCTATCGTGCAAACAAACCGCTATAGTAAGAATAGTAAGTTTTACTTATAGTAATGGTCGAAGGATAAAAAATTCACACCTATCGTACAAATATGTAATAATAATACTCAAGAATAGTCAATTTTCATCGCAACACTAATCAACAAATAAAAATCTCTCTGCATTATACCAGTGAAACTCCAGGCTCGATCGAAACATCATCGACAGGAAACGATTTTGACAACCCACGCTCTAGTCGTTTTAAAAAAGTTATAGCAACGAGGCGTAATCTTTCGGCTGAAAACACGTTTCCAGCGTATTTTTCGTAACGCGTTAAAATTCGATCGCAAAACGCTTCGTTTTCGAGCAACGAGAAAAAAGACATTCACGGTTTAACAACGCTGAAAGCTCCGGATGGATTAATAACTCGACCGATATCGCGCGAATATTCGAGTAAAAATGAAAAATAAATAAACGTGCGAATTTAAAAGAAAAGCTTGTTTTCTTTTAATCAACGCTGGGCCGAATAAATTAAAAGCGGAACGACATCGGATATATGTATTACAAAGTTTCCGACGTCGTCGTTTAAATTAATAGCGCGTCGGCCGGAAAGCGAGCGCGACAATTTCCATGCGAAAACACGACTACCGCGTCACGCTGTACGCTAAATACATCGCGAGTCTTCGAAAGCTCCGCAGCGCGTGCAACAATCACCAGGCATAATACTCGCGGCCTTTCATACCGTCTAAGCACCTGTACCTACGCCTACGCCCACGCCCTCCCACCGATCGGTCGCGAGAGAGCCTGAAGTGAACACACCCGCGACAAAGCGGGACAAAAATTACGCTAGGGTTGTTCTCCGCCGCGCGACGCATCGAGGCGCGGCGTGACGAACAGGGTGGTGAGGCAAGGGGCAGTAGGAGAACGGAAACAGCGTGCGAATCAACGGACCACGTCGCATCCTACTTTCCCTGGCTATGGCGCGCGAAAAGATACTCTCCGAACCGGAACTGACCGAAGATGATCACCCCATACATTCTAACCCCTCGAGTAAGAACGTCTTGAATATTTCGAATGTCTCGGACGAGACTCACGCACATATCCATACATACATAAAAACATAAAGTATACACGCTAGAAAGCATCTTGCTCTGTGGACTAAGACAATACTCAAGATCGCAGAAAGCAAGATAAAAAGAACGAGAGAGAGATACGTCGGTTGAGATAGAAAGAAGAGAGGGAAGAAGAAAAACGGACAAAAGTGTAACGCATCGCGAGCATCTACGAATGCTGGATGCGTGCAACGGCCGCGCACCGTACGTCCTCCCTTTCATTCTTTGTGGCACCTGCAGCTACCCTTTCCAACCCCTACGACACAGCCAGCTAGCGGGAGCGAGACGACCGACAGGTGGCGTCGGTAGGAGCAGGAGAGCGTCGGGTCTCGGGGAGAGGGTCGAGCGCATGCGCTGCAGGACCCGCGGGGGTTCCCCGGCACGATCAGTCGTGGCCGGCGGTGCCGGAGGCCAAAGACTTTCGCGAGGGTGGACGCGCCGCGTTTTCTGCCGGACCTCTTTCGCTCTATCTACACCTATACTGTCCTCTCCTCTCCTCTCCGCCGCCGATTTACGCCGCGACTGCTCCGGCCGTGCACGTATGACCCTGCACCGCCAACCGCGTGCACTTTCGCGGTCGGCTGCACCACCATCGACGACGACCACGACACCGATCGCCGTGTGACACGAGCCCCTACCCTTCAGCGGCTCCGACGCCGCTCATCTCGCCTCGTCGTCGTCGCCGTCGTTGTCGTCGCGTGCACCCCGCGCGTACGTGCCGCGCGGAGAGGACCAGAGGACCGAACGTGACCGACCACCAGTCGATCGACGCGACCGCGACCACGACCACGTCCGCGTTCGCGAAACCCGTCCACGACGACGAGCACCGGCGACGACGCGATCGCCTTCGTCGCTTCTGCCGGGTCTAAGGTTGACCGAGATCCAAGGACACGGGATCGAACGATGCTGGCCAGCTGCCTAATCTTCGTCGGTAAGTCGTCAGTGTTCTCCTCGGATATGCCGCGTGTGTTCGTTCTTCGAGTTGATCATCTTGGTCGTCCGGATTTTTCATGCAACTTGCGAGTAAGGTAGTCTGACATCTCCTGCCGTGGATCCGGAATGTTGATAGCCGTTCGCACGCACAATGGACCTGAAACGTGCGTTCTGAGTTAGACTATATTCGTGTCACTCCAGTCACATACGAGAGTTCCATCAATCCGTCGGGTAGGACTATGATCGATCTAGGTCGATGGGGCTCTTACAAACGTTTCTGATCTCTCTTCCGCTTTTGTTCTTCCCTTTAACGCTGACGGTTCGATAGGACCGTTCGAAAGGTCGCACCGGTTCCGAGGGTATCTCTGACGGAACTCGCTGGCGCGTAAAATTAGCGCGAAAAAGGGAAGCACGGGTGACAGTTGCTGGGTTTTGCACACGGTGTTATCACGGAGGGGAAACACGTAGGTTCCGACGTCGTGGAAACAATCGCACGTTCACAGGGTACGGAACCAGTGCACGAGTCACCATCCTCGCGACCCTAAAAGTTTCGCCCGCGACCGCGTATTGGAAACGAGATAACGGCGAGCACGTGACACTCGGGTAAATCTAATTTGTGAAATAGCGAATCTGCAACCCCTATCGAACAGAGGAATCAAGGGGACAACTCTGTGCTACCTAGCTTCTCTCCTAACGTAAATGCATCTATGGACTACCAGTGAGTGAGTCATGCGTGAAAACGTTTTGCCCGATACACTTGTACCTTCCTAGGACGTGCTTCCTTTATTCCAACGATTTCTACGTGACTTCTGAAAACGATCGTCCCATGAATTATTCTCGAGTTGGAAGACAGTGTGTGTGTGTGTGTGTTGTGTGTGTGTTGTTTGAAGTTAGGCTACTGATGTGTTGGATACAGTTGGCTCGTATTTAAAAGTACCTTTTGGTTCAGTTGTGTTTGTTATGGGAGTGAGAATGTTTTAGGGTAGAGATTTTCAAATTTTAAATTCGTAAATTTGTTAATAAAATTAGGAAGTATAGGAAAAAATCTGTTGACACGACAGAAAAATTGGTATCATTTTGATTTATACCAGTCAACTATTGTTGTGTTGAGTGTTGAAATTTTTGTTTGTTTGAGAATCTAAGAGAAGAAAGATTTTCACTGATTAAGTAGTTAGATATTGCATGTTTTAAAAATTCTGACATATAAAATAATTAGTGTCTAAAATTATAATTATATAATAATGAAAATAGACAGGATGGGAATAGTTCTCGCGGCTACTGTAGCTCCAGCTATTCTAACAAGTGTCTACATCATAAATATTAAATAAAGTCTCTAGCCTAGTATTATATTTATTTATCACTATAATTGTTTTATCAAGCAAGTTTCAGAATAAATTGTTCCCAAACTTTTACCTCGTATTTCTCTTTTCAAGTTTAAACAGTTAAGGCCAAAAAGTTTGTTAACAAGTGTCTATCCTAAGAATCTGAACTCTCAGGGTAGACGCTGAAGTTCCTAGAACAGCATTAAATCTATTTATCACTGTGCACATTCTATCAAGCAGTCTTTCAAGTAAATCATCTCCAAATCTTTCTCGCATCTTCCCTTCCAGTCTCATTGAACTCAAAGATATTTAACAAGTGTCTACCTGACAAAACATACATATCTACACATCATTTTAGTAACTCCATCAATCAATCTTTCAATTAAATCACTCCCAAATGTTTCTCATATCTTTCTTTTGAAATTTCCTAAACTCAAAGATTTCTGAGAGCTGTCTGACTCGAAAATTATGTTTTACAATAATTCCAAGAATAGTCCCATGTGTTTGTCACATCAATTATACCATATATAACTCCTCTAACCCGAATCACATAATGGAAGCAACCTAACCTAAATTTTTCTCGTGTCTCTCTCAAAAAATTCATCGAACTGAAGAATTCTTAACAAAAACTTGACCCATTATAAAACCATCCTGCAGAAAATAGTGGAATCACGATATTCCCTCTCGAGCACCCTTCGAGTCCCCAGAGCACGAACGGATAAGCCACTGGACTCTCCCTCCAGTCTTTCGTTTTCACAAAAATTCTTACGCCGTTTCTACTCGAGCCTGCTCTCCCGGCGAATAATTCTGACCGTAGAACGTATTCCGTCTCCTCGAAAACGAATACGATCGACCATACAAATAAACGACTTTCCCTCTCTCGTTAAATTTTCTTGGACTATGGACGTGTTCGTTCGAGGCCGAACCGATGTTCGAGTATATATCACGGCCCCGTTAAACGAACGATAATCACGCGACGACAGAACTCGAACGAGGCCCTATTCAAATTCGCATCGAAGAATCACGGCGTGATAATCGTTGACCCCTGAATTAACGAAGAGGTTTATGTCTTCTCCGTTCTCTCTCTTAAGGTGTGGTAAAAATTCTTGATCATTCTCTTCATCATTCTTGATCTGAAAGACAAACGTATTACATGTATAATATATATAAAGTTTATTTATAAAAACTGAAACTAATTAAACGCTTACAATTAGTCCAATGAAAATTACTAGAACCCTAAAACCCACAGAAATATCTGTATATCTAAGCACTTAAGTTCAATATTTAAACTATCTCACACAATTGTATCAAAATAAAGAAAGAATATAAAACACAAATTCGTATTCCACAAAATAAAGGCAAGAATCCAAAAGGAAATAAAATTTCCTATAAACTAGCAGAAAGTAGTAAACTCTAAAATTCGTCCATCCATACCTGACACTTAATCTTCCATCTCGCAAACGTCATCCATGTTTGTATGACGAAGACAAGCAAACAGGCCGAAAGGCAAAGAAAAATGGGAAAGGCGAGAAATCGAAGGGAAACGGTAGCCACGGCTACCACGGACGATTCGCTTTCGCGTGGACGTCCACAAAGGGGCAACATCGTCTTATTTGCGTTGAGAAGAACAATACGTTTGTCTGGCACGAGGAGCTCGACGACATCGTTCAGACAATGAAGAACGTCGATAATGATCGCGACGCATCTTAAGACCTCTCTCGTTAACGTTCTACTGGTTCTTTCGCTTCTTGCAGGAAGCTCTCTGTACTTTCCTGAAGGAGCTCGCCATCCCACGCCACCCAGCTGGTCGCCACCCTCCTGGCCGCTGTCCTCTCCTCTCCGTTTCGCACTAATTGCGGACAATTCCAGACTTTAAATCTCTCGAATCTCGAAAGCCTTTAATCTCGACGGCCGAGCCTTAACGACGTCGCCGTGTTTCGTAGAGCGACAGTTTGAAATTTAAGCGCTCGAGGGGGCGGAACAGACACCCTTAATAAGGTTCCTCCACCGCCTCATCCTTCCTTCGTCTCCGCCGCTCTCTGTCCATCCCTCTCTCTCTCCTTCGCTCTATAGGTCTAGAGATCTATCCTTCTCTTTCCATCTTCGTTCACCTGGCCTCACCTACTACGGCGTTCTCTCGATCGTACACAGAGGCGTTCCTATGGAGAAGAGCGTTAATGGAATATTTTAATGGCTAAGCAAACCTTTAATCAACCTTTGTTCGCCAAGATTGCATTGGGCGAAATTAGGGATAAGCAGATAAGGTGTTCGCGGTGTCTTGACACTGGCAAGCAAAGTGCTAGCGTGGATGTGACTCTGGCCAGAGTTGGGTTAGGTAAGTGGTAGTCTGATGACTAGACCTTACGTTCCGGGGATTTTCGCTGTTTAAACTTTCGTTTGTGTACACCTGTTAAGTCTATGGGAGTGGACTCTTGTTTGAGTGTGAAGAAGAGATTATGAAGGTTTAGGGTGGGTCTTGGTGACAGAGATATAGTAATTGTGGTGAGGAGGAAGGATGTGGAAGTGTTTGGTGATGGTGTAATAGTGCAGTGGTAGGACAGGGGATAATAAGTGAGCGAATTTAGGCTAGTCTTTATGTGTGGACACGATGCACCGTTGCTCGAGGGCTTCATAAGTTTGGGGGTCTCCAGACATCGGGTAGAAATGAATGCAGTATAACCATGTAGATACTGTAAAAAGTAAGTGTTTGATTATAGTGTAATGAGCAGTGGTACAAGAGTATTGTAGTATGTAAGCTAACTCAGAGTCGTTTTAATGCATGGACATGTTGAGCAACTACCTAGGGACTCTACGAGTTTAGATGCTCTGGGTTGTCAGCTATGAGCAAATGTAATATAACTATAATATCGCAACATAACAAGTACAACGATGTAACTGTGAAAATAGAAGACACGATTTTGTTCCATTAATTTTCAATGTACAACATATAATTATCTTCCAATTTTTTAAAGACTAACAGTATGGAAGAGGAGCTTTTTAAAAAACAGAAAAGGAAAATACGAGTATAATTACAAGATATTATTAATAGCAGCATGGCAAAGGAATATCTTTATTGCTGCTCGAAAGATCGGAATTTAGCTTGAATGAAAACATCTCATATTGTACAATTAACAAGTCCAATTGTAGTACACCTTTTTTCATCCATTTGCATAAATACGAGAGAAAAATTTAGTAAGTTATTTATTCATTTCCTTTCTTGCAAGCTACGCTGTTGTCAGTATCTTCTCATCGAAGGAACTTTCTGAAGAGCTTCATTATAATCTCAAGAATCTTCCAACAAGTTTACAAAATCTTTCTTCAGGAATGGTCTCTCTGCTATTGTCTGCACAAATCTCGATTAACTTTTTGTCCATCGTGACTGGTATTACGTGCATCAATATATCATAATACATACCTAATTTCTCACCAATGATATACCTCCTTCAGATTTCTGTATCATCTCGGTCCATAGACTTTTATGAATTTTGTATCACCTGAAAAATTACAACTGATGGTATCACATATACAAGCGAATAACTCGAAAGACCCAACTTTTCATCAGCACCGTACCTTTTTCCAAATCCTTCCTCTCAAATCCCCTATCGCAGAGCTACCCAAACCAGCAAACGAGCCACGCTTACTCCAGAGAACCCAGGCTAACCCCGAAAATGGCGAAGTTCCAGTGGTAGTGAGCCAGGCTGACGCGTGAGTCGATGCGAAACTAAATTCGAAATGTTCATCGGCAACACTAGGTAAAAGGAACTTCTCGAAAGCGCGAGAAGTTACCACGCTCGAAACTGAACTCCCGGTAGTCCCTGTTCCTGGCCCTTCTCGTCAAAGCAGCTCAGGACGCAAAAATGTCCGTTTCCAAATATCATATAATTATACAGAATCGCGTAATTAAACTTTCGAACCGTTCTCTCGCCCCTTCTCCATCCCCTAGCGTGTCCCTCCTCCATGTCTCATCGACTCGGTTCATTTTTCCAGCGGAATAACTCCGCGGTAAAAAGAACGAACGAACGAATGAGAAGTATCGATCGAGCTTTATCGCGAGACGTCAAGCGGGAAGGTTGTTGTCGAAAAACAAAGCGACCGGATCCGCTGAACGCAAATAGCTTAATACTCTGTCTCGAAAATAAAAACGGGGAAACAGCGGCTCTGCGGAGTGCTGTCAGTCACTGTGAAAATTATCGCTCAAGTATCACCGTGGTTTATACACGGATCCCTAGACAGTCTGAAGGGTTGCGTTCGCAGAGCTGGCGGAGCCAACGACGGGAACGAGACACCCGGAGAAGGTTCGCCCGTCTCTTTTCCGTGTCTCTATCCGTCCCTTCTAGCTCCTGCCTACCCTGGCGTTCTCCGATTATGCGGATAATGCGAGAACAACGTGACGGGCCTACGTGTACATCCGGCCGAGCGCCAACCGTACCCCGCTGGATCGTTGAATAACTTATTCGTTATGAATATAAACTCCGGCAAACTGATTCGTACTGCCGCGTTTATACTCTAAACTACCACTTACGGCTACGAGCACCCTCGTCACCGGACGGAAGGGACATCTCTCCGCTGCTGCAATCGCGTCGCTAACTTTCACGCTTATCGCGGCCACGTTTGTGCTCGTCTCTCATGTTTTTTGTGTCCTCCGAGTGGCCATGCCTTTTCGTTTTCTGCATGAGAACAGTCACGCGCTGAGTGTTTTAATTGTCATGGAACAGATCTTCTCAGGGATACGGTGGGTTTCGTTAGTGTCTGAAATCGTGATTTAGGTTAGGTTTGGAGATTTATATGGTCTTGTATGTTACAACACGGTTTGAATGCGATGGAGGGTGATCTAGAATTTGCTTGCAAAGGAGATGGTATGCACTAAGGAAACGTGTAATTCTTTATGACGTTTGGAGATTAAAAATTAATTTGGAGGCATTTCAAGGAAAATATTATTATTTGCTTAAAAGGTTCTTTGAACTCTTCTTAAAAATATTCAAAAACTTTAAAATTCCTATATTTTATTTCTAACTTCGCTCATCATGACACATAAAATATGGTAGTAATAAAGAACCAGCTTATAATGAACGTATTAAAATACATACCTCTAGCTATATTTATATCACATTAAAACTCAATATCGACCCCTTATTCTGCGATAGCATTTACACCAAAATTACCATTACCGATAATACCATTCCCAGCAAAATTGCTGTTATCTATAATATCATTTCCACTAACAATCTTTCCAAACATACGAACATAACCTCTACGAACTTACCGTATTTTCTAACATACTCTCATATCCATATCTCCCTAACCACACCTTAAAAGTAGCGATAAAAGACTAAACTCGTTCCTTTATTAATTCCGACTTTCTCCTCTAACCCCATAGTTTGTTTAATTTATTAATCATTCAGGAAACACGTAATGAGAATACAAAGTAGTAGTCGTAAGCCTTATTGTACTCCCGCACGGAACATATTGTACATTGCTATTTATATTTCTTTCCTTATTATTCGAGAAACTGTACAATCATCGTGTTCTTTTGTCGGATATAGCAAAAGACTACGCGAGTAGCGCCTCCTGGCGTGCTTTTGATTAGTTGTTCGCGAATCAAGTTACAGTCTTTGCACATTCGAATTCAATTCAATGTATTCGCATTTAACGGAGGCATATATAATTTGGTTCAAGCTATATTATCGTCCGGGAAATCTCCCTAGCTATATCTGTTCACATTTATTAAAAAAATATAATTTGATTATTTTTAACTAAAGATGGGAATAAATCTGATAAATCTGATTAATAAAGTTGACATCAATTCTTGGGATGACAGATTATAATATCAAAATTTTGAGAGACTTTCTATTGTAAGTGACATGTTTTTGGCTAAATATCGAAAATCGAATTACAGTCAGTGCACATTCGAATTCAATTTAACGTGTTCACGTTTCATAGAGGCATATATAGTTTCATTACAGCTATATTAACACTCAGAAACTCTGTGTTACGTAATGGTCCTTTAAATGCATTTAAAATCTATAATTTGATAATTTTTAATTAAACATGAGAATTAAAACTGAAATAATAAAGTCTAAAGCAGAATACTTATGTATTTACTTTCATCTTTCACGAGTAGCGGATTCTACCATAAAAAAGAGGTGTATTTTATTTGTACTTATGTATTTACTTTCATCTTTCACGAGTAGCGGATTCTACCATAAAAAAGAGGTGTATTTTGACAGTGGCTTTCTATAGTAACTGCTATGTTTTCAGTTCGATGTTCGTGGATCGAATTACACTCAGTATACATCCAAGTTCAATTCAATGTATTCATGTTTAATGGAGGTATATACAATTTAATTCGAGCTGTATTATTGTCTAAGCTTTCTCCATTCATGCTTTGGTTAAATCATAGACTTCTCAGCAAAAAGTTTCCAAAGACTCGTTCACACCATAATACACCAGTATTATACTATTTCGATTCAATCTGGGCAAGTGTGAAATTAAATTACGCGAAAAGAAATGAAGTGTCTGCTTGAATGTTGCCTCAGAAGATAGAACAGCTTTTGAGATCTATACTTCTGACATTGTGGTACGATAAAACACCTCGACATTTCTCTTACATTTTTTCTTTGTGAGATTTTCTCCTTGAAATTTTGTTCTTATATTCTTTGGTTCAACTTTATTATCGCTTCCTTTCATTGGACGGAAATAGACGCGTTGCTACTTCAATTGTGTTACTTCCTTAACTCGTTAACTAGGTCGTGTCTTAATCAGGAACTTCATTTGGTGTAGAAATACAAATTAACAAATGGCGAAGTAATTTTAGTCAAATCAATACTAACACTTGCAAATGAATATGCAATCTGAGATATATATATATAAGACATACATAATGAATCATTAAACACAGAGAATCATTACCTAAATAATTAAATAATAAATAACTAGGTTGAAGATGATAAAAGTAGCTAATTTGTTTTTCCCAGTTAATAAATTACAAGCTACCTCATATTCCAATTTATAACAGTCAAGTGAATGAGTGTTTATATTTCCTACTAAAAAAGATATTTAACCACAAATTAAATGACAAATAAACTCCTACTCACAAATTAAAATTTAAAAATTTTCTCCTTTCTCCTACCTATTTTGAAAAAATTTTAATTAAAAAATGTAAAATAATTTGCAGGTGGTGAAATCATTTCTTCTTATGAAGATTATCCAGCTATCAGGCAATGGAGAATAAACTAGACCTCCTCAGATAACAGATTAAGATTTATCTATTCTTCCTACCTAGTTCAAAAGATAAAGAAGTTCTATTAGAGAATATCTATCTACTTTTCTTATCAAGAGAAATATTTAACCACAAGCTAAATAATGTGATAACTCGATGTCTCCAATTAACAAGTTAAAATTTACCTCTTATCCCTATCTAACGAAACAAAAAAGAAAGAAAATTCGACCAAAAATCTACAAGTACATAAGTATTTATTTTTCTTACCAAGGTGAATATTCAGCCATAAGCCAAATAAGGAGTAAACTCATTTCCTCCAATTAACAAGTTAAGACTCACCCTTCTTCCTATTTAAATTAGACAAATTTTGATTAGCAAACGCAAAACAATTAATAAGTAATTATCCACTTTCCCTATCAAATAGATATAATATCCAACTACATCAAGTACTACCATTTTTTCCATCGTTCGTTTCAACAGTTATTCCCAGAATTTCCTTCTCCCATTCCTGTATCTCCGCCAACGGAGGGATCCGCAATTGCAAGTCATAATATCTTCTCTTACTTCCCCCTGCACGTCTAATTTTATTCCTTTCGTTCCATTCGTTTCTTTCAATCTCGAAAGGCTTGTTTCCATTTTCCTACCCATCGCTGAAAAAATACAGGATATCCATAACTGTTTGTCTATCAGCGACGTTAAAATAAAAGAAAAACAGGACCGAGGCAAATGAGATTTACAAATGTACAGTAATGTACGTACCTCAACTACGACAGGTGTTTATACTTTTATTCCATTATCATTCGAACCCTTCTTACGTTCTGCTTCTTCCATTTCGAATGAATAATTTTCAATCTCTAACGTATTTCTTACATTTTTCCTTATGATCCATCCTACCGGTTACGAGATTTTTCTGTCTCGTTTTCTTCTTTCCACCTGCCGTGTCTTATATTTAAAATCTACCTTGCCTCGTATTCTAGATCTTTACTTTGTAATTTACACCTACTTTACTCCGTAGTCTAAATCTGCTGATCCACCTTAGTGCTTCTCTGTCAATTTATCTTTTTATTTTTTTTTTAAACATCCTTTGTTTCATGTCCTCTTCCTCTTCTCTTCTCTTTATCTTCCTTCGCTTCATACTTCAGATCTTTTTTGCTTCGAATTTTAAGTTTTCTTTCCCTTAAATATATTTCGAATGTTCCGATTTTCCCTTGATGTTCCTATTAACAGACATTCTGTGCCCCATTGTTTAAATTTGCTAATCTTCTATCAGTGTTCTACTGACAATTTATTTACTTTCTTCTTCTTTTTATTGTGGATAATAATATAAGCAATTAAATTTCAGCATCCATCGATCATCGTTTGTCATGCTAGAATCATTCTTATGACAGGTTTCCTTGACAAATATTTCCTAGCCTGAGGTGATTTATCATGTGCTATGAATAATGAAGTACGTTCTTCTATGAATTGCTGCACGACAATCGTGGATTGCTACAATTTTTGTTCGCGTTTTTGTGTTTTAATATTATTATATGTGAATACATAGTTGCGATTTATATCCAATTTCTTGCATATAATAAAACTATATCTAGTTTTCTTTGCTCAAAGAATAAAACTTCACAATTTTTTATAGATCCAAACGTAAAAAAGTTCACGTGCAATTCTTGACATTTTTTCCACATAATTATATTTAATTACATTTGCTGAAAAAAGTTTAATGAATTTTAATTAAGTATGAAAATAGATTTAATCATAATTGAAATAGAAGATCATTATGAATAATGTACTGTATCATAGAAATAAGATGTATTCTGTACCTCTCTATAGCAACACAACGTGGTTCAAGAGCCCTGCTCATGCAACGTGTTTCTGACCCAAATTACACATGTAATTGCTATTGACACCAATTAGGTACTTAAAGTGCAGTTTTAGTGTGCTTAATGTGGAGAGGATAATACAGGGTACTCAAATTTAGACAGTCGAGTAATATATAGACTTCGACATCCACGTTTTCATAAATAATTTCTCTTGCTTCCTGTATTTATATTATTCTATAAAATGGTCCTGATGTATCTGCAAAAAAGGAAAAGGTTTTATTTTATTGCAATTTCATCAACCAAATATACAAATTAATTATTTACCAAAATTATTATATATTATAACAAAAGATATATATTCCAAATATTCTGATTTCACATCAACCATACTATTTTTCGTTAATAATTAACATATCTACTAAGCAGTTGACAAAATTTTTTACTTTCTCTTCCACGAATTAATTAACATTCCTAAATGTAGGTTACCATAAATCATACAGTATTATGGGGAATCTAATAGTATAAGAACGCAGTGAGGTTGGAAACCGCGCGATCGATGCAATTTAAAACATTGCATACGCGCCTTTCCGAGCGATTTGCCTTCGTGCACCGATCGATGCTTGCATCTATTTTAACGATCCAACAGTATTCTTTGGAACCACAATACCGTCCCTCAAACCCGTCCCAAACGACGGAATGACGACGAAAGGGCCTGGCTATTGGCGAAGTGAAATCGAGAGAAGAAAGGAAGGAGACTGTTGCGTAGAGTCGACGACGAAAGCGATTTAGACACATAAAAACTGACACTAAGGTCTGCCGCCTCCACCCTCTGGTGGCCGGTCGTTGTAAGAAAATTTAGTTCGTGTCACCAGCTATTTTACTTCGTCGAACAAAGTTACGCGCGCCCAGCCATTTACAAGTGAAATTACCCTCGTACCTCGTCCATGGATTATTACTTTAAAATCTGCCCACGAATATCTCATGCCTCTCTTTTTAACGTTCTCGATGGATTCGTTCCTACGAAGTCAGTCACGTTATATCTGGTTGTCTTTTCTTTGCTTCACGAGGTTATAACAAGTTATCCTTGTCTTTCTTCTAGTGTCCATGGAGTAACTGTGGAGTAAAGGTAGATTGGGTATAGATGCGGGAAGAGAGAGGGGTCTGTTTGTTTTGCGAGGCTCTATGGTCGCTAACCTCGTAACGAAAGAACACATATTTGTTGAAAGAGGAAAGGAGAGGAAGACTGTAACATACACAGCGAAGAAGATGAGAGGAATGTCCGATTGGATATACTTCGATTCTAATACAATCATAAATAACGAAGCACACACATTTCCCTGATTGGTCGAAATGTGAACGTCTGCCAAGGCCAGCATGCCGTGGAAACTTAGAAGAGGGGATTATATAGTACGATTGGCTTACTTCACTCTCCACTATGCAGTCTCGTGAGTCATTTAAACAGAGTATAGCATGTAACTGTTCCGTAAAATTGCAGATGTGACTTTTGTAAATTTATTAATAGGTGTTTCGTGTGCTGCAGTTATATAAGATTCGAAATGAATATTTATTAAGTAATTGGACGTGTTTAATGCTGGTAGCAGTTCTCGGTACCTCTCAAACGTCAATTTAATACTGTAGTTTTCGAAGAGTGGTTTGCTTGACGACTATATTGAATCTATACCTCATGCTTGTTCACTTGCGTGAATTTATAGCAAATTGTGAGAGGTAGATAGTAACACGGTTTATGAATTAATGGACAATTTGGACTCGAGTAGTACGTTTAGAACTTCAAATATCCCGCCCACCTTGATAACTATTAGCGAACAAGGCGGAGGTCAATGAAGGGTCTAGACTTAAGAGGAAGAAGACTCTACATCCACGAATCACTTCAGGGCCGTGTTAGGTTTTCATAGACGTGGTTTATGACACGATCGTAAAGAACAGGAATTGTTATACTTGGCTTCTCGTTTATCGTTTAGATATATTGAAATATATCCGGGCGGAGAAAAATAACAATATTTGATTAATCCCTAACACAAACACAAGAATTTTCAAAAAATAGATAAAATTATAAAAAAGTTAGGTTACAGACTTGTGAAACGTTTGAACTAAATTTTGTATACTCCTGTGTTAAATTTTTGATTTCCATTTTTGCATCCTTATTAAATTTATTATATATAATATATTCCTAAATTTTAAGCTCGTTTTCACTATTTTTTTCCCCCTCCTTTTTCCACATTTCCTTATTTTTTATCTTATTCAGCAATATGTGATCACGAATAATACGACTAAATAAATTCTGCATTTTAAATGTAAATAAATTTTCGAGATAAAATTTGAACCAGGGGTTACAAGAATAAGAGAAACAGTGCTTTCCACAGAAGAACGATTACAGATAGTCGCGAAAATGCACGGCAAAGAGGTAAGAAGCGATTTGAAGCGCTTCGGTGAATTTGTCGTGACCAATCGAGCGATTCCTTCTTTCGAATAAAACTTTCGGTGTTACGCTTCGATATCTTTCGCGGAGTAGTTACAACGAGATTCTTTGGGCGGGAATAAGTCGAGAAATTTCGGAGAGAGAAAGAACGTGGCAACGTCAGAACAAATTTTCGAGCGGGAAACTTCGATGAAGATTCGAATGGATTCGCGTGGCTAAGTTTCGACGATTCCTTTTGTGTTTTTGGCATCGATTCCCATTTAATATTATTGCACGCAAGAAAAAGTATAAACGTTATTTTAATAATTAAATGTAGAGGAATAAAAGATTTCTAAGTTATAAAATCTAATATTATAAAATATAAAATATAAAACATGTTAGAATAGGAAAATATTTTCTTTGTATAATTATTCTTAAAATCATATAGAATTTTTAATGTGAATTAAAATTTTATTATGTTTAACACTTTAAAAACTTGCAAACACATATATAATTTACATACATAGTACGTTTGCTCCGACAGTTTCGTCCAGTATTGATATTACTACTTGGATTCTAAGTAGTATATACCACGAGGATCTGACCGCTCGTTTCCACCCACGACTATACCACAGCACTTTACTTCCATCAGTTACCTTTATTTTGTATTAAAGATTCTTTGAATAGCATTGACATTCAGAACTTCCGATAAAAGAGACTATTTCCCTGGAAATTTTCTTGCACTAATCCCTACCCAACAAAAGTTTCCTGCCAGTAGCTGCTCATAAAAGATTCAACTTTCATTCGAAACGATCAAGATCGCGAATACTCAACCCCGCCCTCCAAAGCTATTATTGAAACTTCCAAAAATTTCTACCATATAAAACAATCACAAAAAACAACAAAATTAGGAAGACAAATTAAAAGAAAGTCAAAAATCAACTACAAGACACCAAGGAAGAAATCAAAAAAGGTCTTCCGCACATAGACTCACCTCGGAGCCGCCATTACACATCAACTCGCCGACAGTAGCAGAGACACAGGACTGAACAGCGAAAGAGTAAGAGAGGGAGGGAGAGAGAGCGCGCGCGCACGAGAGAGAGAGAGAGAGAGAGAGAGAGAGAGAAAGAACAAGAGCAGAATAGTCGAGTTCCAGAGTCCGAGCATTGTGCCGGTAAATTAAGTCATCGCTGGGGTTAAAGGCGTCACAGTTTTACGCGCGATAAAACGACGAAAGGAGGGCCAATTTCCTGATCGACCATGGGTGAAACGTCGAAGCTTAGCTGCCGCTCTCTCGCTGCTACACCGTGCCGCCTTGGAACGTGCTTCTTCGTCCCCCGGCATAGCCTTCCGATCGACCCTCTTTAAACTCTCAACCGTAACACGCACGCCAGTTGGTTCGTCGAGTGGTCGGTCGGACCGTTTATTTTCATTCGTCGGGATTGCTTTTCATCGACGCTCGGCGAACGACGACAAAGGCTCCTCTCGTACAAGGAGAGAGGATGTACACACGCGTGTATACGCGAGTATATAAGTATTGCACGCTTGACACATGTAGGCGTACGGTTTCACGGACCCTCGTCTTTCAATGGAACTCCTTGGCAACGTTCTCGATGACTTGTATCGTCGACCGTGTATTACCAACGTCCTTGGCTACACCAGCGAATCGCGCGGGCTAATTTGCACGGTAATGAGCTCATTATCCCAGCCACTTCGCCGGCCCGGGGATATTAAGAGATAATTTAGATAGCGCCCCGTAACGATATCAACGGGGTCAACCTTTGAGAACAGAGAACGCGCGTTCGATTGCCCGCAGCCCAACTGCGAGCAAGGAATCGCTCGCGGAGCGCGGACCATGACGACGCCCCCTTGTGTTATGTTTATATCGAGAATCAAAGTATCGAATGGTATCGAATATTAGGTTAATCGAAGAACTATTCACGATATGCTATTATTATTGGTGAAATATTTTGTGCGAATTTTTATATACATATTATATTTTCTAGTTTAAAAAGAAAGAGTAAACAGGAGAAAGGATTAAAAAAATTACTTTTATCGTGAATATGAATATATAGATAGGTATGGACGATAAACAATGTACTGGAATTATTTAAAAAATTAATAGATGAACTGCGCGATATCGCCTTTTAAATAGTTGTCCATTAATTAAATATGGTACTAAAATACAATAGAAAGTTTCATCAAAAACATTCAAAGAATACAAATAATTTTAATTAAATTCAATTTCAGAATTTACGTTGTTAATGTAGAAGATACAGCAAAGTATGGATTGACGCTGAGTCTGAATCTTTGATCTCTTTCTCACTGCGTTAATTAACGAATCGTTAAAAGCATTACAAATTGAAAGTACGTGAACTCTAATTAATATACTTTAAGCTTTCTAGTTTCCAAATGGTTTAGTATTTTTTTCTGAATCGTAAAAGCTTGTTAATATTTTCCTTTCTTTTGTTTTAGTAGTAAAAGTAGAATGGCTTTAACGAGTGCTTCAGGCTAGGAAAAAAATCACTATACTATCAGAGCTCTAATATCATTTTACATTAATTACAATCATTTTGCAGCAACGTGCTTCTAGCGACCTGCATAGAACGCGTGAATTGGAATAGAAATCTGAACATCGAGTCCCAAATTGACTCACACGAATAATACAATGTTATATTCATTATAATTATCACATTAACCCATTAACTGATTATAATCACCATATGGGAAACATAAAGACAAATCCGTGGAAATTTCATAATATTAATTATGAAGATTCCTCTTAAATAAATAAAAAACATATAAATTTAATGAATTAAATCTGCATTTGGTTTCATCGAGCGAAAATCAATTAAATACCTCAGAATTTCAGGAATATTAAATCAACGAGAAAATTAGAAACGAAAAGAAATAAAATAGTATTTCGAGCAACAGCACTTAAGTTCATAGCGCTATAACGTTCAATAGTACTTCAACCACACAAGTACTGAAATGACACATCATTGAAAGGAACACAATACCAGAAATAATGTTCGTTAACAAAACCAAAGGGATCGCTTATTCCCTCTACAATTATCCACAATGCTTGTATCGTCAAAAAAAGTACGATATTGGAACCAATACAACGACAGGAAGAATTCAGAATACAATACTAGAAACAATGACACAAAAGGAAAGTAAAAGCGTGGAAATGAAAACAATGAATGCAAAACCAATCGATCCTCCTCTTGAAAACTATTTTCTCGGTAAAATCGTCATGGGTCGTTAAATCAACGACACGTATCAACGACAAAAGTGTCCCGAGCGTGTGGCCAATTGGCGACTCTAAGCCGTGCAAATTGCTTCGCGCCTTCCGGCATTAAATCTCTTTCGGTACCGTTGGTGAGCATGTTCCATATAACGTGAAGGCGGGATAACGATTAAATTTTCAAGAATCCAACAATAATTTTCGAGAATGACCATCGAAGCATCGTCGTTTTTGAGGTTATATATTTACCATGCTAATATATATAATAACAATAAAATGTAAATGTAAATATTATAAAATCTATGTAACAATTGTAGTATGTACATAATTGTACTTACTCAGATGATATCTTTTTCATCTCCATCAAATTAAAAGCTGCTTGAAGAGAGGTGAAGTCTAACTTGATTACAGCAAGTTCCTGTCATTAACAGAAATATACAAATTATAAAATTTGTTTTAAAAATAACATGTTTGTTAACACTAATACCCTTACTTTATATTTGAAAACACAATAATTTTAGATAAATGCAACACAGTGAATGTTAGGTTATAGGTAGAAACTGTTTACATAAGTTACTAAGTTATTCAAAAATATCTGATTGATTATAAAACGAGAAACAACAATAATAAGTTGATAAAGAAAACCAATATGGAATTAGTACATAGGAAAACACTATACATGTACGTAAAAATGTACTTACCTCATATACAAGAACACAAAACCAAACATACGCCTTGTTTGACATATTGACTCTCATGTTCGTCAACAGAGATACACATAAAGAGTATTCTTGAAAGTTTCCATCTGAGTATATTTTCCTCATAAATGCATATTCTCAAGTAGCATCTACAATTTTAGCATTTCCGTATATTACTATGGAACAGAAAGTCTCCAGTGATAAATAGCAATTAACGTTGTTGCCAAACCCTCGACAAAAATATATTTTAATTATTAGTTTTATCTTCGTGTCTAATGTCACGTTCTCTTTCCTTTCTACTATCACAAAAGTATCACAAAACGCGTCAGAAAATTCAGTTACTAAACCACAGCATTACGTGTCTTAAAACACTTAACAAAAATCTGTAGACGAAGATGATCGGACAAAAACATACTTACGTCCCTTTCCACACATTTGGCTCCCAACGGAATGTACCGTGTGCACGTGGTATTCAACGCAGATCCCAATACAACCCACGCGGCGTTAGTCCGGCCACGTATCGGACGTTTGTGCACGTTACGTTGTCGGCTACTAAATTATTTCACGATAAACGTATTTGCGTACGTTTAGTCACACAGCGAGCGTCACGCGGGCTACTTTAATCGTTTCGGCAAATAGACGTGTCCAATATCTATCCAATACGATCGAGCAACTTCGCAACATTATACGTACCAACGAATAAACGATACACACTAAACAGATCGACACATGCGATCGTTGCGCCCTCGATCCTCAAACCTCATTCTACATTTTTTTCAACCGCAACATCTGCTTTATCGGTAATGTAGAATCGATCAAATTTTTAAACAAGGTAAACATCATACCTCGAACCTTTAAACTCAAAGTTTGTTCGGGTTGAAAAATTCAGATGTAAACTTGAAATACCCAATGCCACTCACGTTAAATGTTTGCATCCTTTTTCTCTATTGTTCCGTCATTAGCGGTGCGTTTGTATTCTCATCTGGCGTGACGTGTGCTACACAGGGACAGTGCTGTCGAGTAAATTCTTTAATTTGGAATGTAGGTTTTGTTGCATTCGAATAGAGGATAGAGAGAAAAGCTTCCATTTTATCTAAAATGTTAGAGATTACTAATAATCAAAGAAATTAAAATGAATAAAAAATTAGAAACTATTTTTAAAAACCTAATAACATAAAATTGAAATATTAATAATATGCTAAATTCAGCTATGTTTATAGACTTCGTTGGTATCTAGGTATAGCTCACTTCATCGCATTCATTGTTCAGACGCGATATTACCTTGCGCCTTAACTCAAGTTGCATCGCAGCAAAGCGACGAAATAAGACGAACGTGAGACCATCTATCGCGCGATACGGGAACTTACAAAAGGCCAAGTTTCAAAGTTTCCATCGAAACACGACGAGATGATCGGCTGAAATCCCATTGTTCGAAGAATGTTCGGCTAGGAGACGCCGAACTTCATCGGGGCAAAGTGAAAATTTAATAAACATCGCGTGTACACGCGAACTGAGACAGCCCTGCTTAAGAGCTAATACGAACTTCTAACAAGTAAGAGGCGTGCTTCGTGCAGGCTGAGACGCCACCGGGACAGCAACAGCAGCATATCCCTTCGTCGCTTGACCGGCTACATGACAAAGGCGGATTTTACGTCGACCAAAATCGAACAATCTTTTGGAGGGGAAAAACGGAATATCGACGGCTAGTGCTATCGGCGAGAGGTTAGGTTGGCGTAGAGCGGAAATCGATGTTAAAACTGATCGATTCTCATTTCTGGAGAGTCGATTAGTTCGATTTTCCTCCAAGGAAATTGATGTTCGCGGCGCGTCTTAATCTAGTTTAGAGAAACGCAAGGATATCTGATAGAAAACGGAACGGAAAGGGATAAAGACGTTCGTCGATTTTGTGAATTATATTGCACGATTGCCATCGCGCTCCCGCCACCGGCTTGTTATCCTGGTTATTGCACGGTGATCGAATTGTAACGATCATCGAATTATCGATAAGCGTCGGTACACGCTACGTATACAGGGTGATCCAAGTATGGGAGTAGAACGTCAAATATCTTCGTTGTTCATGGCACTAGAAAAAAATAGAAAGGAAATTTAAACAGATAAATATTCGAACTAGAAAAATATTCATCAAAATTACATTCTGTAACTTCTCAATGTCATCAAAAATTGATTTACTAGTATAATAATAAAATATTGTGAATTCTTATAGAAATAAATACCTTACCTATATTTTTTATTCTTGTGTATTAAATTCACTTCTTCGTTCAGAGTAAAGAAGCTCAAAATCGAAATGCTTGTCGCTTTGCTTCCACATTAGACGTACTAAAGGAAAGAAAAAGAGAAAAATATGATATAGTGTAAAAAATTGTTCGTGCATTAGTCGAAGGTAACGTGATTACCATAAAGTTAATGGATTCGTAGAAAAATGCAGGCCACGCGGAGGTCCTTTATTTTTCGAGTCATTTCGCGAGGCATTTTTATATAAAAAAAAAAGAGGAAAGTTAAAAACGAATAGAATGGAAAGAAAGAAAAGAAGGGAATATCGTCCGCGAACACGGTTACGTTCGAGTGAATAATTTCGTCGCAGAGTTTGCGCTCGTCCAGTGGTAAAACAAACGACCATTCCAACGTTCCATTGCCGGGTAATAATTCACTAAAGGCTATTGCTGTGGGTTCCCTCGAATTATTTCTGAATAATTCAACCGTTTTCTCTGCAGTTTAACAAATGCACTCGGTGTATATGAACGCGAATCATCATGGCCGATGATTCCTCTACGTGCGTGTGTACACAAACACCACGTGACCTTCTTCGTGGCGCTTCGTAATGTTTCGTGAATTTTCGCGAATTTTCGGAACATTCCGCACGTAGGAACGCTATTTTACGAGATCGTCGATCGAAAATACCGAGATCGTGCCATCGTAGCCAAAAGATTAGCCGGGTAGCGAGTTCTCTATTTCCCGTGAAGCGACTGTCGACGTCGTCATAAACGTCGACGAGAATCGTTGATAACCCCGATTATACGAACTATCTAGCTCTAATCAAAACAAGAAACGCGTTTGCCTCTTTAACAGTCCCATTTCCTGGACAAGAAATCACGATTCACGTTCACGAAGACCGTTACATAACTACTTCCCCCACTCCAAATCTCTCTACTCGTCCTTTCTGCCCTCGCCCCCTCCACAACTCGCTCTCTATCTCTTCGCCCCGCCGACTATTTCGTTATCGGCTACGTGACGTTCTGCAAATTCCTCACGCATCACAGATTACGCCATGGATCAAAGCGCAGCAGGGAACGAAGCGAGGAATTTCCACGAGTAGCGTGCACGTACACGAGCTCGCACACGCGTCCACTACCACGTTGCACACCTACTTTTCCAACCCTCTCCTTATCATGCTCGACCGGTGACCGGCGCGCCGTTACGTACCGATGTACCGCGATCACGATAAAGCAACTACCTAGCAGCCGACAACCTCGTCGTCCTCTCACGGTCTTCAAGAAGCTCATGAACGAGCGGAACGAGACAGAGAGGGGGTGTGGGGGTGAGTGAAACAGAGAGAGATGGCGAGCGGCCTGGCACGACTCGCTCGATATCCATTAACCCCCTACCTCTAACCCATCCCGAGTCTCTGTAGGGTTTAGGGGAGGCTATTCCCTCCTCGTTCATCGAAAAGACACGAGTTTATGCCCCGCCGAGAGGCCGAAGGCTCCTCGTTCGTTAACCTGCTGGAAACTGGAACTTTGGATATGAGTCCGGCTAGGGACTTTTTTTTTTAACTCGGACTCGTTCCACAATCTAAATCGTCCCTCAACGCGAACACTCTGTACAGATAGGTGAAGGGAAGTAATGGGAAAAGAAGGCTAGAAATTTGAAAATTTGTTTATTGATAATGATACGACGAATGAAGACTTTGGGGCGGCTTTATGATGATGTACATGAAATGTGGTTTATAGGAGGTGTTTCGGAGTTGAGCGATCAAATTTTGCTGGGATATTATATGAGACGACGCGAGGAAAGGGTGTTATGCAAACGGAAGTTTAGAAACGCTTTAAGCGAAGACTTTAGTGAAGGTACCCAATATAAAGTTATTGCATATGGTTACATATTGTGATTTAATTTCTTGGTATAAAATTACGTATCTGAAATTTATAACTCAATGAAATATTTTTCGTTACTATAAAATATATTTCATTTTTAAAATCGTATCAATTGTTTCCTTTTCGTTTATTATGTATATATGTATTTATCTAGATTTTAAAATAAATTTTTTTTAGTGTAATCGTATATCAAATATCATGCACCCTGTTGAAAACAATCTTCAAACCTGTATCACTATCCAATTATTAGTATATGTACAATAATTTCAGGACCGAATGCTACGAATATTTGGACTGCAATTGAAATGCAATGTATTTTCGATTCCCAATGTAACACGATACGGAAAACATTACATGATTGGATTTAACTTTCGAGCACTCTAAACATCGGTTATCCTGACAAAGGTTCTCTAACAAACTACCACTACGCTCAGCAACACACAAATCGGTGTACTTCCAACTTTCCATAAACCTAATTCATAACAATTCATCATATAATTGTTGCCTATCATAGTAAGTTTATCTAACAATTTATACAAGCTGAATCAATTCCTACAGTCAGATACCCTCCAATTTCTAACTACGCTAATTCATATTACGATATAACCATTTACTGATCCGACTCTTTGATTCTTTGCTGTCCATCTAGACTTAGTACATGTAAGTACATGGATACAAAGATTTCAGTATAATCTTCTGCGAAAATTACACGCAACAGCTTCCAACGCGAGACGCAAAGAGACACACTTGGTCCCATCGTCGCTTCCTCCGTCAGGCATCTTTTCCTCCAGCCTTTCTCCGTGTCTCGTTTTATTCCTTACACAGGCCGCTCTGCTACGCCTTAGCCATTTAATATTCATACGGTAGTACACTCCTCGCGGGCACCGCGTTCTCGCGTACCTTTCAAAAACGAGACCCTCGCCGTCGTTCCCCTGTTCCCTTGACGAAATAAGAAACTGCATTTCAGAGTCGTCGCCACTCATCTCGAAAGCTTGATGGCTACTCCCGCCGGCTAATTACCCGCATTTATCGTACAGCACGTTTAATGTAATTTCGCGATAAAGCAGCGAATACCACGGGGAGCCGTTTGCGACGGCCGCGCGATCCTCCTTTGATGAATGCGCATTATCGCGGGAGCAAAGAGCGGATAGACGATCGATATCTTGGGGATACTTGAAGCGAGAGATAATCGCAAATTGCTGCTTTGATGTTAGGATCTCTTTTTGCGACGATATCCTTTGGTTTAGATTTTACATAATTTTGGTGCAATTTTTCAGCTCAGTAGCTCCGTATTTTTCCTTCTCCGTATTTTAGTGTTCATCTTGATGCATTGCTCACTCTTTTAGCCGTCTTTTTAAGATTTTTTATCCAAATCACATAGTTGCATTAATAGCACTGAGATTGTGTTAATAAAGTACTGGAGAGACTGATATAACATAGTAAAAGAGTCTCACTCTCATAGAATATACAAATAAAATATTTAAATACTCTTTTTCACTAATGTATAACACAAGGTTAAGGAAAAATGAACAAAGTAAGATAACTTTAATAATACAATTAAAAAATGGATACTTTAAATCAACGTTTGAAAAATTCTGAAACAACTGATCAATTTTTTTTAATCTCTTTACATTTCCAATTGATATTTAACCTTTACTCCATAAAATTAGAAATTTTTAAAGCGACGATGGAGTAGTTTCGAAAATTTCAGTGAGAATTTAAAATATATGCTATACATCAGAGTTTAATTAAGACTTTAACGTTCATTAGCAATTATTTCAACACTTAAAACTCTATCTTTTATATTATTAAAATATCTCTTTATACAGCAAATGGACCTTTTATTCTCAATACAGAAATGAGCTACCTCTAGTGTGAGAAACGTTCTATCGTTTTTAGACATATCTACGCCACGTATAAAATCGGGGTCATGCCAAAATTGTACATCCAAAAGAAGCAGGTCAGCCTGATATAGACCGAAAGTTCTCCAAAAATGTATCAGCAATTTGATATCATTGTCCTACAGACGAGCATATCGATTAATTCCTGCAGCGATTAAAGCTTCCACTTTTTAACTTACTCTCGCGTCTCTCGCATATAGACATAAATGTCATTTAAAAGCATCGATTCAAACACTGTATCTCCACTTCCCTAGCCGCTATCGCAGAAAACAGGGAAGTCGATAAAAAAAAAAAAAGCGTGGACGTTTTTTCCAACAGCTCCAGTTCCTCTTTCTTCTCTTACGTATATCCTCTGAACATGTACAGGGCAAAGGAAAAATCGTGGCTTCGAATTGATCTCCACACACAATGCTCGAATACCTGAAAATAAGGAATCAAGTTTAGAACTGAACGAAATCTTGTTCCATTAGTCTTTAAACAAAGTCCTTTACCTTTCACGTAACTTCTATAGAATTCATTTTAGAGCGACCAATTACTTTGCTGCTCAACCAATTTCGAAACGGTTTCAAATTTTCGCTTCAACGATGCAGCCATCATTCGCTTCAACTCTGCCTCAATGCTGTAATCTAACAGCCCTGATATTTCGAAAGTATCTAGCCGGCTTTTTACCCGATTTTGAAAGCGTGTTTCGTACTTTCGGTCAACAAAACAATGTTCCCAATTTTCGGGTACTACATCCACGGACAAGCACACTGGAACAATCGTCGTTGCTAACTGAGTCCATTACACCGGATTCGCAGAGGGCGTAACGCACAGAACAGTCCCTGCTGGTTCAATTTTAAAAATCGTTTCCCCATGGAAACGAAACTCACAGTAGGAAAACAGTTTATTTCCAACAATTTCAACTTACTTTCGTCAGGGCCCGGGCATCATGTGAATTGTAGTGCGGATCCTCGCCGCACCCTGTCTACGTACAACGCTCGATGTACGCACAGTTTTCGTTGCGACTACCACGATACACGCTAGCCATGACCAAGGTGGTAGCAGCGTGGCACATTCAATGGCAAGAGACAGAGTGTGTGTACTGTGTGTGCACGGCGGGCGGGGTGGTGGTACATGGTGGACTGCGGTGAATGTGCACCCCTGTCCCTCTCCCGCTTTCGTGCAACTGCATGGAGATGCAGAGACGTGGATGCATCCTGTAGGAGAGTATAACGAGCTCGAACCCGGCTCTCGGGTCGATGGCTCATGGTTTCGCCTTGCCCTCTCGAACGACCCACTCCTTTCCTTTCGCCACCCTCCACCCCTTCTATCTGACCCTCTTTCACTCTTTCTCCGTCTGTCTTTCCCTGCTCTGTTTCGCCTCGACTCACTCTGGTGCTCCCTCATTACCTCTCTTTCCAACCGTTCCAGTCGCCTCACCCTCATCCGTTCTCTTGTCCCGTCTATTCGCCGACAGTGGCGTAACTTTAAATTCAGGACCAACCAGCCGGTCACGGGGGTGCGCCCTCACCTGTCGTACATCGAGTGGGACAGCGGTAGTTACCGGAATAGAAAACGTTTTGACGGCTGTTCTTAAGGAA